AGTCAGTGTAGCTGATACATTTAAGGTGCCCTTCGCAACTAGCATGGGGAGCCCTCGCATACTTTCAGACACATGCATTTGGAGCTCTTGAAGGACACTACCTGCAAAACTCAAGAGGACAAAAAGTGTAACTGGAGTACTTTTCCCAAGGCATGAAAAAGCTTGTAGCACATGACAAAAGGGATGCTGACATTCATGGATGCCTGTGATAAACAGCCTTTCGTCTGTGGGAAATCTCTTGCCAAAATTAGCACTACAGCCAAGGACACTACTCTGTCGGACATTTCTGAAATGTGAGGAATTCACCTGTAAGGTAGAGTCCTGAACAAAAGGAGCTAGCAGCAATTTGGCTTTTGTGTTAACTGGAAATGCTTTTGACCTGGGCTTACACTCAAGAGACTAAATTTGACATATAAATAATAACCTTTTTTGTGATGTAAGAGATCTACTTGCACTTTATACTCATTTACTCTTTGTTGAACCTGTATTCCACATGGAACATTTGTATTACAGTTTGAGTTTTCTGTCACTGATCACCCATTTTTGACACAGTTACATATATTAGAATGACTTTTGGAGAAGGATAAAATGCCTCCAAAGAAAGCGGACAAAGCTGCACCTAAGAAAGGTGACAAGGGAAAGGGGGAAGCAAAAGAAGATACAAAGGCAGCAAAAGATGACAAGAAAGGGGGTAAGGGAGGCAAAGGGAAAGAGGATCCAAAGAAAGGAAAAGGAAAGGGCAAACAAGCTCCTAGTGAATCTGAAGAAGCCTCCGAGGCGGAAAGGAGTGAGATTGAGGACAGTGAGGCAGTGGATGAAGAGGATGTGCAAAGTGAGGATGATGGTGGTAAACGAGGGAAAGGGAAAGCTGCACTGAAGGGAGCGTCCAAAGCTATGGCTGTGAAGGCTGTAGCTAAGCCAAAGCGTGGCCAGGCAGCAGAAGAAGGCATTGACCCAAAGACTGGTAAACGTGCCAATATTAAGGCTGCATCTAAAGCTGTTACAGGATTTCAACCTGAAGAGAAGAAGCCACAACTTCAGCTTGGTAAAATGAAGGACATAAACCTGAAAGGAGCCTCTTCAGCTATGATGGGCTTTGCTGTTCAGGGTCAGCAGAATGTTCAAAAGAAAGAGGATGCAAAAGCGCATTTAAAAGGTGCTTCTAAAGTTCTCACAGGTCTGACAGGAAAGTCCCCATTTTTTTCAAAGTCAGCCCCAAAACAGTCTAAAAAGCTAAAAAGCACATCTAGGCTTTTCATGGGACTATATGGCAGCAAGAAGAAAAAAGGTATGACACCAAAGGCATTACAAAGTACATCAAAGTTGTTTTCAGGTTTTGGAAAGTCAAAAGCTACAGAAGACGACAAAAATAAAAAAGAGGAGGGTGGAAGAACACTCTTATTACTCAGTATTGGTGGAAAGGCAAATAAAAATGCAGCAGCTACCTCTGGACTAGGAGGCAAATTCAAAGGGTTTTTTGGTAAAAAGAAAACTGGAGCTGCACAATTCAAGAGTAAAGGATGGGCTCTGGGGAAGATATCAGGAGCAGCAAACTGGCTAACTAACAAATTCATCTCATCCAAAACATCTAGAAGACTAGGTCGCTCTGTTCGTTATGACAGGTCAAGTGTGGGGCAATATCATGGCTTTCAGAATGGAGGTTATGAATATGATGAGGGTGAGTTCAGCTATGAGGAAGATGACTGTGTTCAAAGCAGTTATAGCAGAAATAATCCCCGGGAACGATATAGAAGCAGAAATCACGACAGCTATGGTCAGGGGAGCTTCAGAGGACCACATCAGTATGACTACTTTGAAGATGACCAGGAGTATTATGATTATCCTGAAGATGAGTATAGATTCTATGATGAGGAGAACGATTACTATGATCCCATGTATGAGGATGAGTATGGCTATCTTGATGATCTTGACTATTATGATCAGTATCAGTATGGAAGACAACCTTATGGTTATTATGATGACAGAATGGACTATGATAACAGACACCAGAGAATAGATGAATTTGGATACCCTGTTGATGGTATGGAATTCTACGATGAAATGGGTTATGCTATGGAAGATGAATTTGGCTACCTTGGTAATGATGTGGAATATTATGACTATGGATACTATCCAGAGCAGTTTGACTATTATGGTGATCAGCAAAATTATTATAGTCACTATGATGGTGTTTCAGATGCCTACATGATGTATCCAGGAAATCAAAATGCATACAATCAAAACCAGTACATCTACAATGGAGAAACCGGTGCAGTTTACATTGACCCTCAGATGGTTGTTAACCAGCCATTTATGTACACGGTGGAGAATGTCATGGAACCAACAGAATCCTCAGAACCGTATGGTAATGAATATGTTCAAATACCAAGAGAAGGAATGTTGACTGAGGATTCATTCAGATTCCCAAGACCACAAGTAAAATTGTTTGGAAAAGAAAAACTTGACATTTCAAGTCCAGTGTCTCAGTTTCCCAGGAATGATCTTGAGATGATTCCAGACCAATTTGAAAACCAGCCACTTCCTTCGCCTATGAGCTTTCCTCTATATATTCCACAACAACCGGAGACTGTACAATGGTCATTATCTCCCACACCTATATTAATTCAGCAAGCACCATCCCCTATTATACCACCTAGTAGTCCCATTTTAACTCGATCACCCCAAATACCATCCTCACCTGTTCTTCAAGCAAGACCCTTTTCGTCTCCAATGCCAGTGTCACCTGTCCCAAGTAGACATTCTTTTGGACCTGTTGGACCCATACCACTCTCAACACCAGCATCTCCAGTTCTGTCTGCAAGGAGATTCGATCCAACTATGGGTGATCCAGTATCTCCCCATTTAGTCTATCCAGATCCCATGTTTCAGAGACTTGATTTTCCACATGAAAATATCCAACCAATAACACTGAGACAATTTAACCATCTCCCCTCACCACAGCTCTCTTTAAGACAAAGCAATTTTTCAACTCGAAGCAGCCCTGTGCCTCGCCAAAGATCTGATATGTATGAGGAAATGTGTCCGTGGTTCTCACCAAGGCAGTCTAGAATGTTTGGCCCACCTTCAAACAATAATAATTCACAAAGGCAGTTCTCTCCTATTCAAAGACGAAAATTTAGCCCCCCTTCTTCTCCACAACCATCCAGACGAGCGCCATCACCATTAGCTTCTTTAAGGGGGAAATCTCCAAACCCCCAAAGAAAGCCATTTGGTTCTAGAGCACCATCCCCTCTTGTTAATGGAAGAGAGAGTCCTCCAATGTCTCCACGAGGCTCAATGAGAAGAAGAAGTCCTCCTTCTTCGCCTAGACCAACCCTGAGGCAAAGTGCTAGTCCTGCTCCTCCAATAAAATCTCGTTTCAGGCCAATTGGTAGAAGCAATCAGGAGTCTTTCATGTCATCAAGATCTATGAGGAAAAGCTCTCTTTCACCACAACCATCATTACGGAGGAGGAGCCCTCCACTATCTCCAACAATAGGCCAACAGTCACCAGAGGAGTGCTCTCCATACCCACCCCGCAGAGCCACATCTCCCATCCAAAGACCTGTGTCTCCAAGACCAATATCCCCCTTTGCTTCTAGATCTCAGAGACCTCTTTCACCATCACCATCAGCATTTTCTGGTAGAATTCAACATGACCCACAACATCTACCTACTCGTTCATCCACACATAGATTCAGAGGATTTGGTGGGAACAAAGTGCCAATGGGAACAGTTAAGCCATCTCCCGTCAATCCAATTTTTCAAAGAAAAGGTCATCATGGTACTCCTCAAATGCAAAATGTCGCTCCATTCAGATCTTCCATCCATAATGCATCCATAGGTTCAGGAGCTTTGAATCAAAGTGCTAGATCCTCCCCCATCATGTTACTAGTCTGAGTTCTTCTCCAATGCTCTCTAATGCATTACAAAACCCTTACTTACGTAATGCGTCTCTCACTTCCCCACTGCAAAGAAGCACATCTCCTTATTCTTCTGCAGCTGCTCAGCAGGAACCGCAAAACATTTTGCAACCTTCTTCGGTCCTAACCAATGCACTAAAAAATCCTCAGTTACGCAGTGCCTCATACATCTCTCCTCTTCAGCGGAATACATCTTTATATGCTCCAGTGATGTCACAACCCGAACAGCAAGCATCAGTATTATCAAATGCACTTAAGAATCCTAACTTAAGAAATGCATCCTATTCTTCTCCTTTACAGAGAAATCCTACTCCTTTCCAGCAAGCACAGGATTATTCATCCCCTTTGTCAAATGCATTAAAGAATCCAAACCTTCAAGGTGCTTCCTTTCGACTACCTGATACATCAATAATATCAAGGAATTTTGGAGGCCAAAAAGAGGAGATGACTACATCTGTTCTGTCAAATGCTTTGCAAAACCCTAGTCTCCGGAAAGCAACTTATAGGCTCCCAGATGGTACAATAATATCAAGAAATGAGCCAGCACAACCAGCTCAATCTTCTTCACTGTTATCCAATGCTCTCCGGAATCCTAACATTCGAAAAGCAAGTTACAGGCTTCCTGATGGAACACTTGTATCCAATAGCACTGATGAAGCCGCGGACACAACAAATTCCTCACCGTACCTGGGAAGAGCTCTACAGAATATTAACCTGCGTAAAGCATCCTATAAACTACCTGATGGCTCTCTCTTTTCTCGAAACCAACCAGCAGAACAGTCATCCTCTCCACTTCTTTCAAGTGCTCTTTTGAATTCAAACCTTCGTAAAGCTTCCTACAGACTTCCTGATGGAACACTTTTGACTAAGAGCTCTGAACAAGAACCAGAGAAATCAATTTCTTCTAATTTGTCAAGTGCACTACAAAATGTTGGTAAGGCCAACTATCGCTTACCTAGTGCCTCTGGCCTGTTTAGAAATCCAAAACAAGAGCAAGCTCCCCCTTCAATGCTGTCCAGTGCCCTTCAGAACCAAAACCTTCGTAAAGCATCTTACAGATTGCCTGATGGATCAGTCATGACAAGAGGTCAACCAGCTCAAAGTGAATCTCCCACATCACCCTTCCTGGGAAATGCCTTGACGAACGTTAACTTGCGCAAAGCATCCTACAAGTTGCCGTCAACACTGGGATGTTCTCCAGAGGACCCAAGGTATGCAGTAGTGACCCCTCAGATTCAGGGCCAAACCAGTACACACACACACACACACACACACACACACACACGTCTGGTTTACTGTCCTTGTGGGGACTCTCCATAGGCGTAATGGTTTTTAATACCGTACAAACTGTATATTCTATCGCTCTACACCTAAACCTACCCCTCATAGAAAACTTTCTGCATTTTTACATTCTCAAAAAAAAAAAATTCTGTACAAGTTTGTTTCCCCATGACGATGACAAGAGTCCCCATGAGTCCGTGTGTATTCAGGTTTAAGTCCTCACTGGGATAGAAAAACACAAATCTATGTCCTCATTTGTCACAAAAACGCGCACACACACACACACACACACACACACACACACACACACAAACACAGTATATATGATAACTGAAATTTTGTGTTCACATTTAAAAGAAAATGCTTTCTTAAAGAATAAAACTCTTTCCAGGGAACTGCACGAAGGTGCTGTGTTACTGAATTTGAAGAAAAGGTTTGAACGCAATTTGATATATGTAAGTAAATTGCAAAGTCCACTGCATATTTGCATATCTTAGTTATAAAGAAACACATAAATGTACTATTCATGTGTTTCTTTAGAACTAAAAAGTATGTATTTTAAAACCACTGGTTAAATAATATTAAAATGCTATTATACTGTAAAAAGTTTATTACTAAGAATTTTACATGAACTTTAAAATGAAATAAAATGAATAAAATTCTAATTAAATTAATTAATGAACTATAATCAAAAACAGATTATTAACTAATAATTTTGTTTTCTTCCAAGACTTACATTGGAAGTATCCTGGTGTCTGTTAATCCATACAAGATGTTCAACATCTACGGAACAGACATGGTTCTGCAACACAAAGGGCATGCGCTTGGAGAGAATCCTCCGTAAGTTAATAAATAAATAAATAAGTCAATAAATAAATTCATTCATTCATTGATTCATTCACAATAGTAAATGAACAAATGAATTCATTTACAGTTTTTTTGCACTGGCACTGTTATAAAATGAACTTTCTTATCAATGCAAGGCTAATTGCTTATATTGTACTTTTTTCTTTCATTTGTTGTGCTTCTCCATTGTGTCTTCAGACATCTATTTGCCATTGCAAATGCTTCATACACAAAAATGATGGATGCCAAAGAAAACCAGTGCATTATTATCAGGTAGGATTAAGGTACACTTTGATCTCACAGAATGTAAGTGAAATATTTAAAGGGGTCATATGATGCAATTTAAATTTTTCCTTTCTCTTTGGAGTGTTACAAGCTCTTGGTGCATAAAGAAGATCTGTAAAGTTGCAAAGACTAAAGTCTCAAATCCAAAGAGATATTCTTTATAAAAGTTAAGAGTCAACTCAGAGCACACCTCGCTTTTTCAGACCGATGAGCTTTGTAAAAATGTACGCGTTTCAGAAAGGCGGGGCATAGAGGAGAAACAATAATGTACACTATGTGGAAAATAATGTGTTTTTTTAACCTTAAACCGCATAAACACATTTCATTACACCAAATAATGTTATTTTTAGCAGCATCATATGACCCCTTTAAAATATATTTAAACACTGTTCAACTTAACTCATAATTATGTGGTATGGAAGATCTAACAAAGGAATTGTCAGAATTCAAATAGCTGATCTATGTCCTGTCACCTCAAGTAGTCTTTTACACGGATGCAACCATCAGTGTCAGTTCTACTTGACACAACTGATCTCCTGGAAAACTTTAAACCTAGCTCTGATGGAGATAGCTGTAAGGAAAGACTACTGATGTCTAGGCCATGATTGCAGCAGCAGATCATGTCTCTGTGAAATGCACCCATGGCTGTTCACAGTAGCTGGAACGACAGTCACACTCAAGCATTCAGTTTCACTTCTGTCTGCTGATCAGACACCTAGCTCATTACTTAAGTGCATAGCAAAAGACAAGGAAATCGGTTCCTCGCATGCCAAGCCACATTCTGTGCCAATTTAAAGTGCAATTAAGTAGTTAAACTGGTCATTTAGGGGGTTACAGTCATCATGTGGTTTAAATGTGCTTATTGTCTTTCAGTGGGGAGAGTGGCTCTGGTAAAACAGAGACCACAAAGCTAGTTCTCCGGTACTTAGCCGCAATACATCACAAACAGAACATCACACAGCAGGTATGAGTTAAGCTCATGAACTCTTTTAAAACTGTTAAAACTCAGTTCATGCACATTTTTTAACTCATCTTTTTCTTCTATTTAACTTTTATGCAACGATACAGATTGAGGTATTGTACTTCTGTTTGGCCTTCTGTTGTTTGTACCCTATGTTGCATGAGTTGTTGCACTTTGGGATATGCAAGTGTGCAAAAGTTTTTTTGTAATTACCTATAAAATATTAAAATGTATATATAATAATAATAAATAAATAATATCATTATTATTTATAATAATAAATAATAAAGTAAAAAGTGTGTTGTTCATATTGTTCAAGTGATCATATGCACTTTTTGCTTAATGGAAGACAGTAAAATTAAGACTTGTCATAGATTGTATCTGCCAGTGAGTGCAGTAATACAATATACACTCACATTCAAGATAGAATCTATGAACGCATTTCTCATGCAGTGTTGCTTTTTTTAAAGTAAATTTATCTTGTTTTAAGTATTTTAGATAGTTTAACAGGAATTAAAAGGATAGTACTTTGCAGTGTTGTATAATTACAGCAGTTTATTGCTACATCCCTCACACAGTTATGTACTTATGGCTTATTCTACAGATTCTTGAAGCAACTCCTCTTTTAGAGTCTTTTGGAAATGCCAAAACTGTACGGAACGATAACTCCAGTCGATTTGGGAAATACATGGAAATATTTATGGAAGAGTAAGTTCATCAATATCAAGTCTCTTTACTGTGTTATGGACACACCTATTAAGAGGAAGCATTTCTTTGGAGTAACTTTACAACTGAAAGAGGATAACAGGGTCAAGATTAACATGAGGCTAGTTAAAAGGCCTGTATGTTGGTGTACATGGGTTAAGTTGCAAATTACATATTAATGCTTGTCTGATTTTCTTGCTTCAAACAGAGGGGTAATCAGCGGTGCCATAACCTCACAGTATCTACTTGAAAAGTCCAGGATTGTGTTTCAGGTACTTTGCATAATGCTCATATGGACATTTAAAAGTTCATCATTCAATAAACAAATTCTTTATAAACGTCTGAAAGGTTAATTTCCTTAATTTTGTATCTCTTAGGCCAAAGATGAAAGAAACTATCACATTTTTTATGAGATGCTTGTAGGCCTTCCTTCACAGCAGAAACAGTCTTTATACCTTCAAGACGCAGAGACGTATTATTACCTCAATCAAGTGAGGCCATGGTTTAATCATCTAGATCATTATAGCAATAAAAGCCTCAAAAATTCAAAAGCACTGCTGTTAAACTGCTTTTCTCTTTCGTGGATGCTCTTTTTGGTTGCAAGGGTGGAGACTGTGAGATTGTTGGCAAAAATGATGGGGAGGACTTCCGCAGGCTCCTCAGTGCCATGGAAATACTTAACTTCAGTGCCGAAGACCAGAGTGGTATCTTCAGGATCCTGTCTTCCATCCTCCACTTAGGAAATGTCTTCTTTGAGAGATATGAGGTACAGTGAAATTCAATCAAATGTATCCTCCTCACTTGGATTTCCCTCTTGTTGATGTGTTATGATGGCCTTTTTTAGTGGTGCCATGAATTAAGTTTCTTTTTTTTTTGACTCCATATCTTGGCAGACTGAATCTCAGGAAGTGGCATCAGTTGTAAGTGCTCAGGAGATCCGAGTGGTGGCTGAAATTCTACAGATTTCCCCAGAGGGTCTACAGAAGTCCATTACTTTCAAAGTCACGGTAAGAAAAACCTGCTTGATAATGTCTTCAATACTAAACAAAACATTATCACATGTTACATAACACATATGTAGTTTCTAGTTTTGGGTATGCTTTATACTTAGTTGAAACAACTTATTTAATAAAATTAAAATGCTATTATACTGTAAATATTTTATTATTGTAACATTACAGTCCACTGTAGGTGAGTTGTGATGAAACCCAAGTGCAGTTTGATATCCAGAAGACTTGACTTGACAAAGAAACATGAAATGAACAAGAACTTAAACCTGAACATAAAACATGACACTCACCAACAATGGTTACAGGAGACACAGCTAGAAAAGAGACAATAGCAACATGAGGGCTATATCAAACAAAATGGGTGACACAATCCAACCAATGAGAAACAAGACACATGACCAAAACAACTTGAACATATGCTAGCACTGAAAGTGAAAAAAAAAGAAGTCCCTCTAGTTATCTTCTTATCTAACTTCTACAGGAGTACCTGTATTACAGCAGCAATATAAAATATACTTATAGCGAGGATTGTTATATACAGCAGCCCAAAAACCTTTGGACACTTAAGTCAAATTTTAAATTATTTTTTTTGCATTAGATAATACAATTGTCTTAATGCATTATTGTTATTTTATTGTACTGGATAATAAAATAAACGATCAATGCAAAATGTATTTTTTTCTCAGAACTAGCATTATTTACTGGATTTACAGATGATTTTCACTAGATGTAGGAAGTCAATTTCCCTCAAGGAAAGAAGTCAGTTTCCCTCAAGTACACACTGTAGTTCAGCAAATGAACGCTAAACATATTACACTAACGTTTGAGAACCACAAAGAGTCAATTTTGAACAAATGTTTTGTTTTTAAGTGCTTGACTGAAAAGCATGCTGTCTTTCTCTATAATAGATGACAACTGCTTTGTCATAATGACATTCATAGACTTAATGGCTTGAGTGTCTAAATATTTTTGCAGCCACTGCATATTGTGTTTCACATGAACTGACACTGTTTGACACTGTTTGAGATAGACTGGACTCGAGGATATTAACAGGAAGAGTCAGTGACTCACCTCTAGACCTTACATGACCTCCAGGCAGACCTTACGTCAAGGTCCCACGCCAAGTATCAACATACTGTTAGTGAAGGATTTATCATTACATCGTTTTCTTTAAATAATTTTTCTTGGAAACACAACCATCCAAATGTCAAGACTGCTCAATTTGATAGCAAGCACAAGACACCAAAAGAAAGCCGCAAATGGTGCGTATAAGCCCCAAATCCCTCAGATAGTATAACATGCCAAGTTGATTATGGCAGGGCAGCAGGCCATATCACTGTGGTAACTGGTGTAACCCAGTCAGGGAAAACCCTGGGCAGAAACAGACATCAAGGGGCCCTGAAGTCATATCAGCCTCCCATCATAGACTGTGTGTTTTTATGTCTTTATTGTGTAGCAAATACCATCCAACCCTCTGCAGGGGTGCCACCAAGAGGTCTGACGCAGTATTAACCCTGCTTAACCAGTCCACCACAATCACATTCAACATCTCCAAAACCTAAATGGCTGTTCTACTGTGAATACACTGTGATCAAAAGGATTGTGTAACAAAATTTTACTTTCTAAAGTGCAACAGTGCTCATCCACTTTTTCAGCAGTTTAAGAAGTATTCTTCCCATTCATTTTTTTTTTTCTCGTAAGGGTTTTAAAAAAGGCTTTGTTATAAGTTACATAAGTTATATTTTTGAAAGTTATAAGCCAGGAAACAAGCCGTGAATTACAACATAACAACAATTATAACATAACAAACTTTGATTTGAAGGGAACAAAAAGTGCTAAAATGGGACAAAAAGACAATATAATACTGTGTACTAAATAGCTTTAATGAAGAAAAAAAATACAATCCCTTGAAGCATTGTGAATGGCATAATCAAATTAAAAATGATGAGAAACAAAACTACTGATTCAAAGATAAAGAATATATTTTACATTCATTGTTATGCATATTATGCATACAAATATTGAAATACTTTGAGAGCGTAGGCAAATTGACTCATCATTCGTCATTTGCAGTGCTTCATGGGAATGGGCAGCTGCTAAAGAGTTTTTTGGTGCTATTTGCTTGTCATAATTATTTGATTGGTGGAAATTTCTCATGGGTAATTCTACCAGAAATTCTGCTGTTGAACACAATTATTTAAATATATGTTGAAATTCCCCTATGAAGAAAATACATGGGATTTTTTACTTCTGGAACCCCTTAGTAAAGTAATGAACATCTTAGTATAGATCTATGGTGTAGTTATGGTATTACCAACAGGGGCTAACTCAACCTTGCTAACTAGCCAAACCTTGACCTTCTGCATCAGACAAACCCGCCTTAAAATCATATCCACTGCTTGAGCCAATGACACTGTCATGCTGATCGAGACAAAACAAGCAATGCTATGACAAAGATATTGTGAATGAGGGATGGAGAAAATATTTTAACTGTTTACATTAATAATATAACAAAACATGATGATAGATAGCAGCTGCAAATGCATGCTACATATATATGCTCCTATTTCAGTCTAATAATTTATATCAATTCATGAAAAGGCAAGGCCCAATAGTAAAATCTCTCAGATGTGTCAATTAAAACAAATAGAGAGCTTATTCAAATGACTGTTCCTATTCAAACCTGAGAAATGTTTGAAACTGTCCAAAATTCCACACCAACAAAAGGAAAAGTCTTTAAAGTTCCAGCATTCCTTGTTCAGTACAGTTTCTGGAAATGAAGAAGCATCCAGGGTTTTTAAAAGAACAAGATGTTTCCTTATGAACTCCCAATTGTTTCCATTTCACATATTTTCCATCTGAGGTATGTAGAGTTGATTCTCAACCTTCCTCTGATGGACACCATCAACATATGCGTATTCTGTTTCAGCATCTTTCCTCACATCAGAGCCATATCAGTTCCTGATTTCAGATGTATCATCGAAAAACCTTTCATATGATCCTTCACACAGCATCTTGTTTCAGATCAGCCTTTGTCTCAGTTGGTCTTGGATAGAGCCAGTGCTCATCAATGTTCACAGTCCCATTGCCATGTTGAAATGTGCTAAGTCATTTAGAGTACTACTCATGGCTGCTACTGTGACACCTCTGAGGGCTCTTAAAGTAATTTAGCTAATTCTTTTCATTAGAGAATCAGGTACTCCCTATGTAACAGGAGAGGACCATACTCAAAGTCATTTCGCTTTGTCCAACTGAATTGCATGGTGATCTCATGCTACCAGGCTTTTCTTATCTGATGAAACCATTAAAGCCCTGCTTTCAGACATCGAGACCAGAATTTTATCCCGCTAAGAGACAGATATATCCAAGTAAAGTGAATGAGAAGGAGAATTCTTCTACCACAACGTTAAACTATTTAAGGAAAGATTTTTTATTTAAAGGCCTTAATGTCATCAGTTGAAAGGGATTAGTATCGTCTTGCCACAGATGCCGGGGTGTGTTTACATCTACCGACACTAGCGCTGTAGGCTGCTCCTCTTAAGGGCCATATCAGTTTCACTTGCCTACTGATAGTGCCTTAGCAACATTTCATCTCAAAGAGATCAGCAACATTTGAATAAAGTTGGTTTCCATTAAAAGCTGGTTTCCACAACACAGTAAAAGTGTTGTGTTTTAATATAACAGAACATGTACGTTTATCCTTTTCAGAAACCTTGCTACAAGTATTTCTGATTATTCTGTACTTTTTTTTAAACAGGAAACAATGAGGGAAAAGATCTTCACCCCCTTGACTGTTGAGAGTGCAATTGATGCCAGGTAGAAAAACTACAATGCATTTCCATATGCTATATTTCACTTAGACATAACCGGTGTAACCATGGCGTTTGTACGTGTCAAGCAGAAGAAAAGCAGGCTCGGCATCTGCTTTCAAGCGCTTTGAAGCTCTCAACTTTCTCCGGGAAAGTTTACCGGTGTTCCCTCTCGTCTTGTTTGTTTTTTGGTTCCGTCTTCCTAGTCTTTTCGACGTTTGGCCTTGTAAGCTGTAATCTTTAATGCTAATATTTCACACCCTACAAACTCCTGAAAAGTACTTCAGATGAGTCTATCATTCTCTCAGCGTCCGGTGGATGCAGAAAATGATTGACAGGCAGAACTCCCTTTACAAGCCTTCTGATTGGCTAAATCTGACTGCAGCCCGTTTTATTTGACTATTTACAGAGGCTATAGGGCCGTCACAGATATTGTCGGGATATGACATTTATGTCAGTTATATTTTTCAGCAAATAGGATAATTTTCTGCATAAAATTGCAACTTTAAGTGAAGTTGTGTGACAAGGCACACTTCCTAGAATTCAATAAAAATTCAAAAAATCCAAAGCAAAAGGGGTTTAATAAAAAAATAAAGGGCTAATGAATTAAATTAATTAAAGAATTAAATAAGAAATAAGAAATATGGAATTGAAAAACAAAGAGAGTAATGAACATTCATGTGTATTAGTTTTAGCATTAGTGTCATGAAAAGTTCCAGGCAGACATTCAGAGAGCTTCATCCTTATAGATGAAATGGAAAAACTGCATGTAGGGTTCTTGAGATATTATTGTCTAACTACTGAGCACTAAAGTAATCAAATTATGGTAATTTTCCCTCTCAAACAACAGAGATGCTGTTGCCAAGATCCTGTATTCCCTTCTGTTCAGCTGGCTAACAGACAGAATAAATAGGCAGGTTTATCCTCGGAATGAAGCACTTTCTATCTCCATCCTTGATATCTATGGATTTGAGGTATGCTGCTGTAACTTGTTTGCTCACCCAGTAAAAGGGTTTGCTAATACTCTACATTGCTGTAAAATTTGGATTTCGTACGAATGAATCTTTTTTGTGCTTTGTAGGACCTTACCTTCAACAGCTTTGAACAGCTTTGCATAAATTATGCAAATGAGTACCTTCAGTTCTTTTTCAACAGGGTCATTTTCAAAGAAGAACAAGTAAGCTGTCTTTATTCACTCTAATCCTCTGAGAACTGGAGATGAGTAAATTGCCTGTGGTATGCATCTGAAAAATGATTTTCTTTTGAATATCCAAGGATGAATATAACAGAGAGCAAATCAACTGGGAAGAGGTGCCTTTCTCTGACAACCAGGCCTGCATTGACCTCATTGCAGCAAAGCCTCATGGGATACTCCGAATTCTTGATGATCAGAGCGGGTTTCCACAGGTGTCATTTCTTCTTACTGTTCAGTGTTCTTGTTAGTGTTTATCTATTCATCGCTACTAGTTTGCATCACATTTTAATTAACCTCCTTTTAAATAATATTTCTACTAGGCTACAGATCATACCTTCCTTCAGAAATGCCACTATCATCATGGCAACAATCCACTGTATTCCAAGCCAAAAATGCCTCTCCCTGAATTTACTATCAAGCATTATGCTGGGAAGGTCACTTATCAGGTGCATTTAAACTACTTGCGTTGAACTATCAAATATTTGAATTATTCCCTAATAAAGTATTAGTGGAGGAATGGTCCGAACTTTCTGTGATGCTTCACAGGTTCATAAATTTCTGGATAAGAATTACGATCAAGTTCACCAGGATGTTCTTGACCTTTTTATTCAGAGCAAAAATAAGGTAAGAGAAATGATTTAGCTATCATTAGCTAGGAATTAAATGACCCTAATAAACGGAACCTTATCTCACTGTGGTTTTAGATGGTTGCCTATCTCTTTATGAGCTATGCTGAGGCCCTCAACCAACAATCCCATGTTGGGAAGAACAGCACAGTAACGCGGCGATATCAGGCCTCAACGGTGGCAGCCAAGTTCCAACTATCCCTCATGGAGCTCATTGAAAAGATGGAGAGGTAGACCACCTAAAGTGTGCATTACGCTGTCTACATGAATCTCTTGTTGACTTTGATTAGCTTCAGATTCATGTACGTTATTTATCACCAAGTACTTTCTTCTATTTTGTACTAACAGAGCCAACCCATATTTTGTGAGGTGCATAAAGCCAAACCAAAACAAGGTAAGGAACAGGAGTCACTGGGTTCAGAGGTATTAAGCTATTTGCATCTTGACTGGAATTGAAATTGATTGAGAGAGTGTGTATAACACCGCAGGAGCCTGGTGTGTTTGACATGGAGCTGGTCAATGCCCAACTTAACTATTCTGGGATTTTGGAAACAATTCGAATCAGGAGTGACGGCTATCCAATCAGAATGCCATTTGATGTCTTCCTTTTCAGGTAAGAGCTAGAAGTGTCAAACTAAGAAGAGGCAATTTAAAGACTCAAATTGAATTAATTATTCAATTATTTGGTTGTATTAAGATACAAGTCCCTGCTAGGCCTCAAACAGCCGCCTCCTGCCAGTGGTGAAAACTGTGTCATCATGTTGAGGAAGCTTTGTCCTGTTAGACCAGGAGCATTTCAAGTCGGTGTCAGCAAGGTGAGCATGATTCTGATAAGTGCACTTGTCACATTTCACCTAGTCTTAGGCTGCGTCCGAAATCGTATACTTTCCTACTATATAGTAGGCGTAAAACATATGTGAAAAGAGTAGTATGTCTGAATTCACAGTATTCATAAAACACGCCTGGATGACTTACTACTTCCGGCGAGATTCCGAAGTGCACATCTGATGGATACTTTAGCATCCCATGAGGCCATAGTAGATGAGTTATGAATGGCAGTGAAGCAACATAACTGATGTTGGTAGGTCACATGACAATGACAACATGACAGATGTAGTATGTCTGGATTTCATTCATACTATAAAGAATATACTTTTTAATGATTGTAAAGTAATTACTTATTCGAAAGAAGTTCCTACTCAGAGAGTATGCGATTTGGACGCAGCCTTAGTCTGTCACACCACCCACAGGTAGTCCTTGGCACAGATATTTTACAATGTGGACCAGACTTTATGATGTGAAAGGTCTGGCTACATGAGCATTGCACATTTTGTTTGTTAGTTGTTCATGAAAGAGGACATATACTTCCTGTTGGAGAGCAAGAGGGACAGAGTAAGGCACGTAGCTGCCCTGATTTTGCAGCGTTACGTCAGGATGTTCTTTGTGAGAAAACGCTATACGGCCTTCCGCATGAAGATCATACGGCTGCAGGCCCACTGCCGAGGCTTTCTCACAAGGTACAAACGATCATTTATCACTCTAAATCTTTCTGGCTCCTAAGACCCCTTTTGTAAAATATTATTTTACATTCTTTGCACAGAAAACGGTATGTGAAAATGAGAGCTAGCCTGGTGAAATTCCGCTCTCTGATCCATATGTACGTTGATCGCAAGAGATACATTAAGGTAAGAACAATGCGGTTTTAGTGCATAGTGGTCAGGCTGAGCAACAATCCCACATTTAATAGTTTTGCTTCTTTTTCTTTTGTTTTAGCTGAGATACGAGGCCAGGAGAAAGGCAGAAGAGGAGCAAAAGAGAATAGAAATGGTTATAATGAAATTTACTAAATGGACCACATTTTACTGTATTTCTTATGCCTACAGTATATAGGGTGACATATAGAAAAGAAATGGTTATAATGACATTTACTGTCTAAATGGACCACATTTTACTGTATTTCTTATGCCTACAGCATATAGGGTGAAATATTATGAAATTGTTTCCACTGAAAAACTTAAATTGATCAAAATCTGTTCTGAATAATACACTATATCCTTTATTTGCAGGAGCTGTCTAAACGGGAAGTGGTCAACGTCACACATCTGGTCATTCCAGCAGAACTCGGAGCATTGCTGCAGGCAGCCGCTGGTACTGCATTTTCTCACGCTAAGAAACACTAATATAACATAATATATATTTAAATAAATGATATTGAACTTTCTGTTTATCAAAGAATCATAAAAAATGTATCAAGGTTTTCACATAAAGCAGCCTAAAGCCATAAAGCAGTTTCTTTAGCACTAAATCAGCATATTAGAATGATTTCTGAAGGATCATGTGACACTGAAGACTGGAGTAATGATGCTGAAAATTCAGCTTTGACATCACAAGAGTAAATTACAGTTAAAAATAGAAACAGTTGTTTTAAACTTTAATAATATTTGACAATTTTGCTGTTTTTACTGTATTTTTTCATTAAATAAACAGCCTTGTTGAATCAGAATCAGATTCAGAAAGCTCTTTATTGCCAAGTGTGTTTACACACACAGGAGCTTCCAGTACAGAAAGTACAAACATAGTGCAGACATACATATAATTTAAGGTAATAAAAACACTAATAATAAAGAGAATAGACAATAAATTGAGCATGACTGGAGTAATGATGCTGAAAATTCAGCTTTGACATCACAAGAGTAAATTACAGTTAAAAATAGAAACAGTTGTTTTAAACTTTAATAATATTTGACAATTTTGCTGTTTTTACTGTATTTTTTCATTAAATAAACAGCCTTGTTGAATCAGAATCAGATTCAGAAAGCTCTTTATTGCCAAGTGTGTTTACACACACAGGAGCTTCCAGTACAGAAAGTACAAACATAGTGCAGACATACATATAATTTAAGGTAATAAAAACACTAATAATAAAGAGAATAGACAATAAATTGAGCATAAAAGATTAAAAATCCTTACCGACCCCAAACTTATAGTAGTGAACCGTAGCATGTATATACAGCATGCACTGCCTGTCTCACTTCTCACCTCTCACGTCTTTTTAGGAGGTAGAGAGCTCCATTCTGATTGTTTGGCTTTAGTCCAGGCTCCCACAGTTCAGGTGGAGTCACAGCTCACGCTACCTCTTGACATCAACAACTACACTATTTCCAAATTTGTCCAGATTCACTTCAAAGTAAGACTTGCTTAAGCAATTTATTCCAAAATCACAAATAATCTCTCGTACTCAGATATTTTGTTCTGGTCTGACTGATATACTGTATATTAAGTTGTATGTTTTTTTATTTTTTTTATTTTGATGAATGAATAGGAGGCAAAGTTTGGAATGTTAACTGCACCTTTAAAGACACCACTAACCCACATCGATGACGATCTTATACATGACGCTCTAGATGTCTTTATCATGGTACGCTGCATTATATTCTGTTAAAGATTTTGTCTTTGCCATTTATTATAGTGTACATGCAATAGAGCTCAAATGTGAGTTCTGGCATGAAAATCCCATTCATTTTCTCCATAGAGCACGAGATTGTTATGTGAAGATATGTGCCTCTGTTGTAGCCATAAGTCAGTGTGATTTCAACTTCTTTAGCATTGTTATTTCTTTCACTTTGTAGATCTTGAGGTTTATGGGTGACCCACATCTAAATGGTGCTCAGGAGAATTTATTTGGAAACTACATCATCCAGAAGGGGCTTACCAACCCTGGTTTGCGGGATGAAATCTTATGTCAAATTGCCAATCAGGTTTGGAGAAACACCAATCCAGATAACTCAGAGAGAGGCTGGCTGCTGCTGCTAGCCTGCCTGAGTGCATTTGCACCATCGGCCAAAATGGAGAAATACCTTCTGAAGTAAGCAACACACCAATATTTACATTGATTATGTCACAAACTACATTTGAGCCTTCATTATGTTTTGGCTTTTATATGCATTAGGTTTGTCTCAGATCATGCCTATAATGGATTCAAAGCTGTTGGCCAACACAAGCTCATTCAAGCCATGCAGAAGTCCCTGTATGGACCGGAGGCTGCGAGGACTTACCCATTGTCCCTTCTGGAATGGACAGCCAATAGGAAGAAAGCAAACATGGTTTTGCAGGTGCACTGTTTTGATGGTGTGTGTCAGTTTCACTTGCACTGTTTGAGTTTCTGCAACCTTGAGTCAGTGTTGGCCAGTTAAAACTCTTAGGGTGGGTTGCATAATAAAAATGAGTCAAGGTCTAATTCAGTTGCATTTAACTTTAAACCTTAACTAAACTTTAAGTCTTGTTGCACCATTACTCTAAATTTCATTTGAATTAAAGTTTAAGTCAAATAACACCTTGATTAATAAATCCTTGATTACCTCACATTTCTGCCTAATTTAGTCTTTACTGGTGCAACCTCCCCTCAGTTTTTACTCTTCATACACACATTTCAGCACTAACCCCTGCTGGAAAACAACAACTGTAACCAGCTTAAGATGGTTGGGTGGTTTTATCTGGTGTTACAGTCTGGTCATAGCTGATTACAATAGCAGGCTGTTTTTAGATTGGTTTTGACTACTACTTTAGCTGGCCAGGCTGGAAGACCAGCTGACCAATCAGCTAAAACCAGCTGAAACCAGAATATTTTGAGATACCCTTGTTTGGAATGAAAGAGATATGCACACTTATATAAGACAAACTCAATAGATAGCTTACAAAACAGTTAAATAAACCCCTGAAAGGCTCTTCCATCATCGTAATCTCCTAAATCAGCCAGGCAGGTTCCTTTGTTTCTTAAAACCCTCTGGAGACAATTGTGTAAAGTGCATCTATATCAAGTGATACCTGATCTGTAGTGCTATACAGAATAGAAACAGACATTTGCGTGTAGTCTTCACTTCAAACCACAGCTGTTAAAAGTCATGTTCTATTGACAGGGACATCTTTCCTTTGCCCTATGCACTCCTGGACGAGTGGGGAGGATTTGGCTGGAGATATTCTACAGCATAGGTACACAATCATACACAAACTATCCTTATTGTATTCCTTCTTTTGTTCCAACCGTTTTTCTCTCCAATGTCAGCCAACACATCTTTTGATTTTGCTCATTTTCAGCCAGTGTAGGTGTTGTAATGTTACCATCTATTCATCACAAGGAGCTTTTTAACATGCTGTATGCCATGTCATTAGTGCATGGCTCTTTCTTTTGGACATGTTGGGATATGTACAGTCTATAATGAGGCCTTCATTATCTCTGCCATCTGTAATTTGCCTGAAATGAATAGTCTCATTAATTGGATCCGTAGGGGTGTGACGGAGGCCTGGAAGGGGTGTTCTGTTATCATGAAGGAGCACGGACAGTGGGCGGAGCTCGCAGGGCATGATTATGTAATGGACTTGATCGCAGACATGGAACTGATGAGAAATTTTCCCAAGCAAAAGTCCTACTTCATCATCTCCGCTGAGAGTCCCACCAGAACTAGGTCCAATGCCAGCCTGTCAGTATCTACATGATAGTCTTGCATGTGTATTGTACTTTCATTTACACTGGAAATGGGTTATGTACTCTAATATGATGTATGATCATAAATATGAGTTATATTTTAATAGATCTGTTTTGCATGTAATTTAAAAGTGAGTGCCATTTCTGTGGCATTAGTGGCTCCAAACTAAGGACTAACAGTGCTTGAAAATGTTGTTTAGTGCCACTAGCAGCACAGAAATGACACACTTCACCTATAAGGCACAAAAAGTGAATATTTATATTATAAATATAAATAATTTCTGTTAATGCTCTGCTAGCTGAGTTGTCATTCATCTTGGACTTTATAATGACATCTAGTGGGTGACATCTAGGTTTTCAGTTACAGATGCCATTGTAGAAATGCCCTATTCAAAGCCACAAGTGATTAATTCCCCTAGTAATATTGTCCAATAACAGGGAGCATGTTGGGATAAGGTGAATATTATTCATAGCTCAGTATCATGTGGTCCTAATATATTGTCTGTGTGCTCTCTGTGATGCAACCTGCTCCATGTATAATTAAACAGCTTTGTACTGTATATGCCACTGATCTAATGTACATCATTTTAAATATTTTTTAAATTCTTTATAATTAACTTTTTAATGAGCAAAAAAATACATTGTAAATTTTTTTAAGTATTGTTATAGGCTAAGTATATTTTTTGCAGTGTTATTGGATTGTTATCTAATATTTTGTCCTCGATATGAACTTTCACAGGGCTCTGTTTGGAAGCGGATTTGATTCTGATGATGACAGCTCACTTCTGCTCCCTCAGACAATGCCAAGCTCCAGTCTGCCGTACTCAGCTGGATATTACAGCCACGGTCAGCTGTTTTTTTTGGGCTAGTTTTTAAGCTGTTTTTACATATTCTGTACAAAGCAAATTGCATGATTCCTGTGTTTTTTCCCACTACCTGTAAAAAAAAAAATAGAATCAGACTTCAGTGAGGCACCAACTCAGAAAGGCATGGACAGATATCTCGACAGCCTGTTTGACCCAGTTCTGTCTGATGGTAATGGGGTAAGTGTTTCTTGTTCATTCATGCCTAATTCAGATAAGTGTAAATGTAATAAAAGCAATATTATTTGGAGGTTAAATGCAACTATTTATGGAAAGAAGCTTAAAAATATAACAAGAATGCACGAAGAAAACAACTGGCCACTTGATCTTCATGGAGTAAGTGATTGAGTGTATCAAATGTGCTCTATGGGTGCCAGGTCCCCTGCATTGGGTGTGATTAAGTTACTAGTTTACCGTATTTCTCACAGCATTGAGCGTACCTTATTTTTTTGCTATTAGCGTTGTCATTTTGAGATAATATCTGGTGCTTATAAACACATATAAAGATATGGCAGTGGGATTTTCATACAAAAATTTGATTGAGGGCACTTGTAAAAAAATAAGCATGAGAATTTTTCAGTCAAAAAGGACTAGTTAGTTTAAAGTTATTATTTTTTGCTAACTTAAAGATCCTAGACTGGTTATGGAAAACCAGACTCTTGTGGTCTAGGCCAGCATGGTTCTGTCTCAATTGCGCTAGTAAATGGGCCTTGCTCCTCTTAGAGAGTATAAGGTACTCCCATGGGGAGATTGATTTCTCGTATGACTGAGCTGGGATCGGTCCAGCCCAGAGTTGAGAGCCTGTTTTGCTTTGCCTTATCTCCTCTGCAGGATTTTGAGAAGTCATCCAGCATGTCCAGCCGTATGAAGGGAGCTGGTGGGATTGGAGGGCAGGATGGTGACAGAGAGAAGCCCCTCTCCAGCAGGCCTTATCCCCCCGGACTGCAGCCTGGTGGTGAGCTCTGCATCTGTTCTCTTTCTGCTCTCTCCTTACCACACATCAATTATGCATGGGTACCCTAGGGTCAATTGGTACCTGAAAGCAATCAATTGCCGGATAAACATTCAGACTTGCAAATTATGTAAACCGCACATTTGCAAATGCTTTGCATGATAAATGATCAATGTACTGTTTAGACTGATTTGATGCTTTGGTGATTTTAAGTGACTGTGGCTTTTGGTGATTGGTGTTCCATGGGTCATTCTACAAAATGGGTGCCATTTGTGTTCCTTATACGTATGTGTAAAAAACAAAAAAACAAACACTTAACAATAAATAGCTAATGGCAACTTTTGTACTTTTTTTTTTAATTAACAAGAATGCAGAAACTTTGTTTTAATTATATTTTTGTAAACAATAATTCTATATTATTCTAATTATATATTAGAATTATATTTTATTTATAAAATTATATTAACATTTTAAGTTATTTAGTTAGCTTAAGGTGCAACATAATTATGTCATATGTTTAACATTTTTTTCACTTGAAACAAATAAATGTTACCTGAAATAAAATATAAAAACTTAAAATGTGTTTTATTTCAGCAACATTTCTCATTTTCCTTTAGTTTAACTTGAAGTACTCAAACAACTAAAACTAAATAAACTAATATAAATGAATAAAAACTATAGATGAAAACCTAATACAAACCTAATCCAAAAACAAAAAAACACAACAAAATTACTAGAACAGAAAATATAAAAATTACATCTAATTCAAAATATTAACAAAAAATGTAATAGTTAATCAATGATACTTAACTATATATATTAGGGATGCACCGAAATGAAAATTCTGGGCTGAAACGGAAAATTCTGGATGCACTTGGCTGAAAACTGAAACCGAAAATGCTTTGTAATAATTATTTATTATTTTATTAAATAATATAAAGTGATTTTGTAAGAATTTTTTATTTAACTCAATAATTTTAATGATACTGAATAACACACTTTTATTGAAAGTAACATTAAATAAGTAATATTAAATAATATATTATTTTTATTCAGTTCTATGCAACAGAATCAGATATAACCATTTTTATTTGACTACTTATCCAAATAATGTATAGTCCTACGAAGCTATTATTATCACACAGCGGGGAGCAGATCAGTGAACGAGAGGGTAGCGTCATTTTACCAGCGTTGCCATGTTACAGCACACTAGCACTATTGCAAACAGGAGCAAATATACTACATAGAAATTTCCTGTCGGTGCGTTATTTGAGCGGACTTTTTTTCCCGAAATTTCAGTGCATCCCTAATATATGTATACTATATATATATATATATATATATGGTTTACAGTCTGTTTTGATTTTATTTTGTGTGAATATACATATAATATTGACCTAATTTGTGCAACTTAATTTAATTAGACTGTTTAAAACTTTTCTTGACTTGAAAAAACACCTTTTGAAATAGTAAAAATTAGAATATTTTTAGCACCTCCATCCTGTTAATGAACAACATATGCTGCAAGGTGTTTATTTCACTTTCAGCAGTATTGTTCATGTTTATTTTATATAGGGGGTCAGCACAACTAATTGGGTTTCGTCTGACCTCAAACTCCTAGCCTAGCCAATCCTTGCATTAAATCGTTTGATTAAGACATGTTAAAGGGGTCAATGCTTACTGATCCTTAGCCATATTTACTGTCCTCAGCGGTGCCAGTTCTACCTGTAATGGGAGGAACAATGATGCCACCTATACCTATGCCAGCTATGTCTTCTGTGCCTCATGCATACGCCCCTACTGCCGTACCTTCAGTACCCCCAATGCCAGCTATGCCTTCTATGCCACCTTTGCCAGCTATGCCTAATGTGCCACCAATGCCTGATATGTCAGGTATGAATGCTGCATAAATGACGCTTTCCGCTGATTTATTCTCTGGGATCATTCGTGTAAGACAGCACTGTTTATTTCTGTGTGTTCTAATCACAGTTATTAGAGTATATCTGCTTTATCTCTAAAGGTGTAGATCCGGCTGTCTTAGCACAGCAGCAGCAAGCCATCATCAACCAGCAAGCGATTATATTGGTGAGCACATACAGCATGACTTAAACTTGCAGTTAAATGCTAAATGTGTTTGAATACTGTGCTAATGTGATGTACCACAGGCTCAGCAGATGACAATGCAAGCCTTAGATCAAATGGGTGCTTCTACTAAATACTGAGCATTTTTCAGTTTTTCTTTTTTAATAAATCTGCAAAGATGTCAACAATTCTGTTTCTTTCTGTCAATATGGGGTGCTGTGTGTACATTAATGAGGAAAAAAAATTAACTTAAATGATTTTAGCAAATGGCTGCAATATAACAAAGAGTGAAAAATTTAAGGGGGTCTGAATACTTTCCGTACCCACTGTATATATATGTACAGTATATGTTTGAACATACTGATGGACAGTTAATAAATTCATAAGCTGTTGTCATAATTTTTAATCATTAAGACCAAACAAGAAACTGGACCTGTTTCCTACAAACCAACCCCTGCTTCTCCACCACAGAAATCTTCACAGCGACAGTACAGTATGTCATTACATCAATCTATATACACCTTCATTCTTAATTTTACTCATTAAAATGACTATTTCATTATTCTGTTGATATGTTTCCAAAGGCCCAACTAGAAGGGATCCACCAGCGGGAGATATGGTGCGAGCCACTATCTCAAACTCTGAACATTTAGAGCCAAGTCACAACATCAAAGACATTATCAAGCAGTACCAGACAAACCCTGTAAAACCAACAGAGATTCCCAGGTGAGAAATGAACATTTTTAGATCCAAAAGCCAGTTCCACATCTTTAATAATGAATGACCTGAACTGAAAACTGATACACAGCTAACCAATGTTCTCCTTGACCTTGCAACAAAACATTGATAAAATATTAAACAAAAGAGATCTTTAAATTAGAACAGAACAAAGACCAAAGCTCTAAATGTGCTGGACTTCAATGCAGGAGGGAAGCTAAAGTGTTTTTGAAGAAACCAGACCCCCATGATGAAGCTATGATGATTCTTAAGGACCAGATGAGTGCTCCATCTCCACAGGTAGATCAGTCATCGTTTATTCACAGATAAACTGACAGTGATAAAGTCATACGAGTTAAAATGATGTAAAGTATTACTAGTAGGCTTTAGTATTATCATTGCAGTTAATGCTTAGTATATTGGTGTCCCACACAACTAGCGAAAGAAAACCTACACTCCAGCCTCTCCCTCGTCATCTGCAAAGGAGTATGATTATGATGGAGAGGCACTGAAACCAGCAAAAAGCATAAAGATGAAGCGATCACCTCCTGTGCCAGCTGTTAGTCAGAGATTCCCGGCCGCTGCACCTGGTAAACTCCGATCATCTATGTAATTTAATTTCAGTTCAATATAGAAGTCATTTTAGCAAGGCTATTGTGTTGCATTACAGTATCTAGAGAACTTCCAGTAGAAGAGGAGAATCTTCAGACTCAGCTGCACAAGAGGAGCAGTGAAGAGCACTACACCTACACCAATGTACCATGGAAGATCTACCTGAGGAAAGAGGCTAGTGTTATTTGTGTTGTGATGGGTCAATGGGACACAGGGCCTTTGCTCTAAAATATGGAAGTCTTTATGAAACATTCAATTTGTGTCATCTGTTTTTAGGTTTTTTATCCGAAAGACAGCTTCAACCACCCGCTGATGCTAGACCTCTTGTTCAAGCAGGTTTGATATTTTTTTGTTTGTTTTTGTTTTCAGTTCACTTTGGTATTAGGGCTATCAATTGATAATCTTAATCTTGTAATTTTAGTGTTAACATTAATAGTTTCTAAAAATTAAATAATAGGTTAATGTGTAACTATTTGTTTTGGCGGATGAAGTGTGGATAAAACATGAGGCATACATTTATGGAATAGTGCTCTTTATTTGTCTTACAACAATCAATAATCTATTTATAATTCAATAATAAATAATAAAATAACAATAATTCCAGAATAAAATAACAAAAGCCACTTTATGGACATAAAAAAATAAATAAAACAAATTATTTCTCTTTATTTATTCCTTCCCTTTTCTAGCTTGTACTTATTTGAACAATGCCTAAAACTTGGTATTACAAGCACTTCCTGTGTCTGTTTGCCTCTTTAAGAAGGCATAAATGACGCTTTCCGCTGATTTATTCTCTGGGATCATTCGTGTAAGACAGCACTGTTTATTTCTGTGTGTTCTAATCACAGTTATTAGAGTATATCTGCTTTATCTCTAAAGGTGTAGATCCGGCTGTCTTAGCACAGCAGCAGCAAGCCATCATCAACCAGCAAGCGATTATATTGGTGAGCACATACAGCATGACTTAAACTTGCAGTTAAATGCTAAATGTGTTTGAATACTGTGCTAATGTGATGTACCACAGGCTCAGCAGATGACAATGCAAGCCATGGCCCTCCAGCAGCAGATGTATAATTCAGTGCCAGCTCCCCGCTCCAGCCAGTACAGCCCTGTGAGTATCTCTGAGCACTGATTACAATATAGTCGATAAATCATTAGATATCAAGAGAACTCTTTGATTAGATTAGAATGGCATATATAGAAGTCATATAAGCACTTTAAATTCCCACATGCACCAAGTTTGAGGTCTTTAAGATTTATATTCTTATGCTCACCAAGGCTGCATTTATTGAATAAAAAACTACAGTAAAAACAATAATATTGTGAAATAATATTGCAATTTAAAGTAACTATTTTCTATTTGATTATATTTTAAAATCGAATTTTTTCCTGTGATGGTAAAACTGAATTTTCAGGAGCCATTACTCCTGAAAATAGGGTCTCCTAGGGTCTTCAGTTTCACACGATCCTTCAGAAATCATTCTAATATGCTGATTCTGCTCAAGAAACCTTTCTTATGGAAACCATGATACATTCATGTTCAGGATTCTGAATAGAAAGTTAAAAAGAACAGCATATATTTGAAATAGAAATCTTTGTACTTATTTGAACAATGCCTAAAACTTGGTATTACAAGCACTTCCTGTGTCTGTTTGCCTCTTTAAGAAGAATCGCTTTATGTATTCCCCAATTGTAAGTCGCTTTGGATACAAGCGTCTGCAAAATGACTAAATGTAAATGTAATCATAATAAGCATAATGCTCAGCAAGTCTGCACTGCTCAAAAATACACTTAAAACAGAAATAGTGTGAATTTATATTACAATTTTAAATGTTTTCTACTTTAATATATTTTAAAATGTAATTTATTCCTGTGATGCAAAACTGAATTTTCAGCATCATTACTCCAGTCTTGAGTGTCAAATGATCCTTCAGAAATAATTCTAATGTGCTGATTTGATGCTTAAGAAACATTATCAATGCTGAAAAAAGTTATGCTGCTTAATATTTTTGTGGAAACTGTGATACATTTTTCAAGATTTTTTTTTTGGTGAATAGAAAGTTTAAAAAACAGCATTTATTTGAGCTTTGACTCTACTGTCATTTTTGATCAATTTACTTGCTGAATAAAAGTATTAATTTCTTTCAAATTTATTTCGGTAGTCTATGTAAAGGTATTTGTGGTTGGTTGTACTTTTATCAACTATAATTACAAATAAACTTTCATCTCAGATTGTCCATGACACATTCTCAGAGGCTTGCATTCGCATTACAACAGAAGAAAGGCAGAAGATGAAATCCCTTTTTGGTATGATTTTTTTTGTTGATTAGTTCTCTTAGATCCACATTTATCTCATGTAATACATGAACACTGCTAATGGAGAGGAAAATGTTGTCTTCTGTATTGTGACAGCGGAGCACAACATTGACATGAATGCCACAATCCAGGATGAGAATGTGAAGAAGAAGATTGTTGTTGCTGCAAGAGACACCTGGGAGATCTACTTCTCACGCCTCTTCCCAGCATCTGTAAGGAATCTTTAGACCAACGTAGACCAGCATGAATTTCAGAGCTGGTCCTGGCTGGTTTATGTTGGTCAGAGTTGGTTTAGCGGGTGGCCCAGCATAGCACACTGTTCACAATATGTAAATAGTGAAATTACGTATTAAGCATGGTTCTGGTGAAGCTAGTCTGGTGTTGTCTTGCATGTCAGCAGCATCCAAAACACATCATACTGTATTCTGATGTTTTAAGCAGGCATTTGCTGCATCATAATGCTATTTAGACCAAACTGAGGTCACATTCCTCCTGAACAGGGCAGTGTTGGCACAGGGGTCCAGGTGCTGTCTGTATCTCATAGAGGGATCAAGCTTGTGAAAATGGTCAGGAGCAGTGCGGTAGCCCCAGACTACTTCAGAGTTCTGCGACCCTACAGGTACCAGTTACTGAGACTTTTAATGTCTGTATTTTAATCATTGTTTTTAATTAAATTGTATTTTTAATGACACAATTAATGACACTGCCATCACACCATGAATATTCTTAGTTGTGGATGTATTGTGATCATTGTTAACGTCTTACAGCTACACAGACATCATGTTCGTCACCATTCCTTCCAAAAACATGCTGGAGTTCAACCTCACCAATGAGAAACTGATTCTGTTCTCTGCCAAAGCTCCTCAGGTCAAAACCATGATTGACTACTTTATCACAGAGCTGAAAAAGGTCCGTTCTCACACACATTGGTTTGCTTCGGAGATGATGTGACGCTGTGCGTTAATTGTGCTCTCTCTCGCTTTAGGACTCAGACTATGTCGTTGCTGTGCGTAATTACATTACAGATGACAGAACGCTGTTGAGTTTCCACAAGGGAGACATCATACGCTTGCAGAAAATGGAAGGCCTAGATGCAGGTGAGACTGCTTTAAACCAAAAGTGGTCATGAAGACCTGACTTTACTCTTCACATTGAAGGGAAAAAGAGCCTATATAAGTCTTTTAAAAATAAATGTTTTCTATTTTTAATACATTTGTGACCCTGGACCACAAGACCACAATAATTGTCTTAAGTCGCTGGGGTATATTTGTAGTATATATCAAAACGTAATTTTTGATTAGTAATATGCATTGCTAAGGACTTAATTTGGACAACTTTAAAGGCGATTTTCTCAATATTTAGATTTTTTTTGCACCCTCAGATTCCAGATTTTCAAATAGTTGTATATCGGCCAGATATTGTCCTATCCTAACAAACCATACATCAATGGAAAGCTTATTTAGTCAGCTTTCAGATAATGTATAAATCTCAGTCTCAAAAATATTGACCCTTATGACTGGTTTTGTTGTCCAGGGTCACAATTTAAAATGTAATTTATTCCTGTGATCCTTCAGAAATCATTGTAATATGCTAATTTGCTGCTCAAGAAATATTTCTCATTATTATCATAATTGTAAAAACTATTATGCTGCATAAAATATTTTATTCAGGATTCTTTGATGAATAGAAAGTTCAAAAGAACAGCATTTTTTTGAATAGAAATCTTTTGTAACATCATACATGTCTTTACTGTGACTTTTGGTCAATTTGATGCATCCTTGCATCAAAAAAACAAAAGAAACTTTTCAATGGTAGTGCATTGATATAATATAGACAGAGAGTATACTGAGGATGCAAAAGATGTTATAAAAGGCACAATAACTTGTTCATCTAAGCTCTGTGGCTGTTTCACAGGCCAGTGTTATGGTTGCATAGTGAAAAAGAAGGTGATTCTCCTGGAGGAATTAAAAAGAGACACACCTGATTTTGGTGGGTCGTGTGTGGACACCTGCATGGAGTGTGTCTTGATGTGCTGTTTTATAGTGCTGCACTTAGCAGTATCATTGCAGTTGAGTTGCTGGTGTGCAGACATATCTGAAATTCAGTATCCCTAGTTGCATGTATAAAACCTGTCTTCCTTCCTTAAGCATGATGGTTTCCCTGCTGCTTTTTATTCAGGCACTTCAGTCTACTCTTAAAATGTCATTCTGCTGTCACACACACACTTTCACACACCATGTGTTGTATCGTACTAAGGCTGGAAGTTTGGGGCCATTCATGGGCGATCTGGGGTTTTTCCTGTGGAGTTTGTTCAGCCAGTGGCTGCTCCTGACTTTATTAACATTCCTGTGGACAAGAAAGAGGAACCCAAGAATAAGCAGGGTCGCGTGGCCGCATCAGCAGCTGTGGCTGTGGCTGTAGGGTCTGCTGCCGCAGCCCATGAACTCGACCGGTCAATTGAGGTATATGTGTTTAACAGGCATGTAGTCTGAAATTCGGATTTACATGTACCATAGATCCTTCTGAGTGCCACTGTGTTGCTGCATTTCACCTCTAGGTGGCGTCTCCTGTCAGTGAGTATGCGGAGGCCTACACAGACAGCACTGATATGGACATCGATGAGAGAATCTTGCAAGACAGCCAATACAACATGGTGGAATTTGCAAAGAAATATTTCAGAGGGGCCCAGAGAAAAAATGGGTCAGTTGATTACATCATAAGGGAAATTGTGAGCTCAGGTTCTCACAGTTACATAGTTGAATTAAAAGAAAATGTGTAATGAAACATTGACATGCTTATATTTTGCAGTGATTCATATAAGAAAAAGTCAAAGAAAACAAAGGAATCTAGGGAGCCATCAGAAATGGTGAAATTTTCCAAGGTATAGAATGCATGCCATACTATCACTTTTAAACATGTTGAAAAGCATAGTTAATTTAAAATATATTTACTTTATAATGAATGGAGGGGGAGGGGGGAGGGGCATTAAAGTAGTCCATACATCTTGTGCACTATATTCCAAGTCTACTGAAGTCATATGAGAGCTTTGTGAGAGGAACAAATTGAATTTTAAGTTGTTATTTACTAAAATTGGATAATTCAGTTGAAAAGAACCATCTCAAAGAATGAGTCATTCATGAATTGTACATTGGAGATCTAGGGTGAATATAATGTTTTTTCTTTCAGTGAATAATGGCTTAAATTTTGAACTGATGTCATATTATTTGGATTATTATGATATCATATTTGAACACCTTTTATATTATTATTATTATTATTATTACTACTACTACTACTATTGAAAAAAGATTGGTTTGGAATTACAGGAGAGTGAGTAAATGATGACAAAATTGTAATTTTTTTTGGTGAACTATTCCTATAAGTTTGAGACCATGAAGCAAGACCTTAAAAGTTTCAATATTTCTGATACATATTCTGATTGATTTTTGCTTTGGTTATGTAGTCTCCAATTCAAGAGTCCCTAATCGAGTTCACTGATGAAAACATGAACAAAGTAGCTGCAGATATTTTTCTTGGTAAGCAGAATGTTCAATGTGAACTTATTAAGAGACACATTTTTTTATACTGTCATCTATAAAAATGTAATGTTTACTATGTAATTCAACTTAAACAATTCTTATCTCGCAGCTATAATGAAGTTTATGGGAGACTACCCTATGAAAGGCCAGACTGAGCAGGAGGTCATCAGCACCATCCTAAGGGTATGCAGCTCTTCAAATAGCGCAACAAGAATGCCCGTCATGTATTATTAAGATAACCAGACAGGAATGTGCTAAATGTTTTCAATGCCACTGCAATATGCAATATGAATAATCTATGTTGCAGCTGAGTGGCGAGTATGGACTAATGAGAGATGAAGCGTACTGCCAAGTCCTCAAGCAGATCAGTGGGAACACCAGCTCCAAGACGTATGAGTCTGCTTCTTTCTGAATGAAAAAACCATGGAGGGCTCATTTTAATGTGCCAGGCAGAGTCATAAAATGATCTTTTCTGTATTTCACAGGGAGAGTTGTCAGAGGGGCTGGAGGCTGCTGTACATCCTCACTGCGTACTACAAGTGTTCAGAGGCACTCAAACCTTACCTGCTGAAGTACCTCCAAGACGTCTGTGCAAGTCCAGGGGTGCACTTTCAGGGTATACTGCTGTTTTAAGTACAAGTTACAGCTACACATGAATGAATACTGACTGATGATTACACAAACATGATATATTGACAGGAATTGCCAAGTCTTGTGAGCAGAACCTAAGGAAGACGTTTCAATATGGTGGACGCGCTGAACATCCTAATGGGATGGAATTGAAAGCTATGCTGGTTAGTTGCAACAAATTTTAATGCTAATTTTAGTGACATTTTCAGCTGTTTCTGCTTAATCATGCACAATCCAACATTTTCAAGGCTGGAAGGAGTTCCAAACGGCAGTTGTTTCTTCTTCCTGGTGGAATTGAACGCCACCTAAAGATCAAAACCTGCTCAGTATGTTGACTCTATGATATTTATTTCAACTTGATCAACCATGTAATTAATTTAGTAGGAACAATGTGATTCTAATTCACTTTTGTTACATTGGAGGTGTCTTTGGATGCCATTGAAGAGCTGTGCTATGAGATGGGTCTGCATAAACTTGAGGCCTTGGATGAGTATGCTGTATTTGTGGTCACAAACAGAGGTGAGATGACAAAAAGGAAAATGCTAAATCAAAATCTAATATCAGATTGTTTGTAGTAGCTGATATGGAAGTTCACTTATCTCAGGAAAGGAAAGGGTCATTTTAATGTAAAAGAATAGTTCACCCAAAGATGAAAATGTACTCACCTTCAGGCCATCCAAGATGTAAGATTCATTTGTTTCTTCATAGGAACAGATATGGAGAAATTTTACATTACGTCACTTGCTCACCAATGGATCCTCTGCAGTGAATGGTTGCCATCAGAATGAGAGTCCAAACAGCTGATAAAAAACATCACAATAATCCACAAGTAATCCACACCACTCCATAAATGAATGTCTTGTGAAGTGAAAAGTTTTTATCAACTGTTTGGACGCTTATTTTGACGGCACCCATTAACTGCAGAGGATCCATTGGTGAGCAAGTGATGTAATGCTTTATTTCTCCAAATCTGTTCTGATGAAGAAACAAACTCATCTACATCTTGAATGGCCTGAGCGAATTTCAGCAAATTTTCATTTTTGGGTGAACTATTGCTTTAAGATGATCCAAGTGATACAAGGATTGAAAGCAGTATTCTCATGTGTTGTCACTCTTTCTCCAGGTCAGAATGTCCGCCCTCTAAACAAAAGGGAGTACATCTTGGATGTTGCTACAGAAGCTGAGCATGTTGATAGCAACTACAGTCTGTGGTTTCGAAGAGTGATCTGGACGCAGCCACTAAAGTTTGACAGTGAGCTCGGAGTCACTATGCATTACAATCAGGTACATCAGCCAGACTGATTCAATTTCCCAGACATTCCTTTCATGTATTGTGCTGCTTATTGCACAAGTTATAAAGATCTGAGGCATTTGTTCTCGTTTTGAACTAAGTTTTCTCTGTTCAGTCTACTAATCTGAACTTCATTCACATTTTACAGGTGTCCCCTGACTACTTGAAAGGGCTGCTCAATGTTGTCCCACAGGGTAAAGCCAGTGAGCAGCAGCTTCAGCAAGTGTCAAAACTGGCAGCTCTTCAACATCGTGCCAAGGACTTGATCTACCTGCCCACCTTGTAATGCAATTAATCTGACTGACATCATACTGAATTTATCAAGCAGATGTTATGTATCAATGAAAAGCTTAAAAAATGTCACATTTACTCCACTGAATCAAATAACAATTGGACTTCATATGTGTGAATTGATTACTATGAATTTTAGTCCTTATACATATTTAAATTATTATTATAATATACCTTTCAAAAGTTTGGGGGTCTGTAAGATTTAAAAAAAAAGAAGAAGAATTTAACACTTTTATTCATCAAGGAAGCATTAAATTGATCAATTGAAAGTAAAGACATTTATAATGTTACAAAAGTTTCAAATGTTTCAAATAAATACTGTTCTTTTTAACTTTCTGTTTATCAGAGAATCCTGAAAAAATGTGGTATCCTCAGAAATACTAATATTCAGCAGCACAACTGTTTTCAACGTCGATAATAATAAGAAATGTTTGAGCAGCAAATCAGCATATTAGAATGAGTTCTGAAGGATCATGTGACACTGAAGACTGGAGTAATGATGCTGAAAATTCGGCTTTAACATTACAGGAATAAATTACATTTTAACATATATTAAAACAGAAGGCAGTCATTTTAAATTGTAATAATATTTTACAATGTTACATTATTAATGTATTTTTGATCAAATAATTGCAGCCTTATTAAGTATAAGAGACTTCTTTCAAAAACATTAAAAGATCTTCTCAACCCCAGACTTTGAAAAGTAGCGAGTGATATATATCAAGCCTGGTTGCCATCATTCTGGTCTCCTAATGAGACTGCTATTTGCTATTTTCTTCAAGCAGAAACTTGCAGGGAAATATAATCCCAGGGATCATTACTAGGAATGAGGGAGAAATGAGATCTGTCCTCATATTAATTACTGTGCCAATAATTGTATATAGGTAAAATTCCCAGTTGTAAAAACACTGTGTTGTGTTTGTTGTGACTGTTCAGTTGGCCCCTGATGAAGAACAGCACCTGGCTTGTGTCCCTGAGGTAATATAAGTTACCTCTACCATAGACTAACACTCTCTTGTTCTCTGCCATCAGCCATGAGGTTCAGGAGTATATTCCCACCCAGCTCTTCAGTCTCCAGCGGCACCAGCAATGGTTAAACATGGTGACCCAGCACATGCAGCAGGTGCAGGCCCTCACTCCTCATCAGGCCAAAGCACAATTTCTGGGTGAGGTGTTGACTTAGGAGAACAGCCAATGTGAAGGCGCACAGCCTTTTATTTAAAACACTGATTGCTGTGCTTGTGTTTCTGTTTCAGGGCTTGTGAGTGCTTATCCCACGTTTGGCTCGTCATTCTTCTACATACAGAGCAGCAGTAATAGTGCTATCGACACCCCATGCATACTGGCTGTCAATCAAAATGGTCTGAACTTTCTAAGAAAAGATACTCATGTAAGCGTAACCCCTTTATTTCCAATGCTTACTAAAAGCCTGTGTAAAAATAAACTCAGGACTTTTTTGCTAGTCTTTTTAGGCTGTATTTCTAAAACTGCAGCATATTTTTAAAGGGGTCATATGATGCTGCTAAAAAGAACATTATTTTGTGTATTTGGTGTAATGAAATGTGTTTATGCGGTTTAAAGTAAAAAAAAACACATTATTTTCCACATACTGTACATTATTGTTTCTCCTCTACGCCCCGCCTTTCTGAAACGCGTCGATTTTTACAAAGCTCATCGGTCTGAAAAGCGAGGTGTGCTCTGATTGGCCAGCTATCCAGTGCATTGTGATTGGCCGAATACCTCAAGCGGGTGACAAAAATGTTACGCCCCTCACCATATTATTGATGCCGTGTCTGGCCGGAGCGGCGAGACAAAAACATTAAAACCCATTACAAACGAGGCATTTGTTGCATCCAGTGGGGACATAATTACTGATGATAATGACTTATACTGTCATTTTACGCGTTGCGTAGTTTCGCTTTCACAATGAAGCACACAGCGTCTTCAGGACATGGCTGCAGCGTCAACAATACTACAGTGAGAATAAAAGTTATGCCTTCTTTCTTTGCGTGAACATTTGGGTGGCGTTATGCAAATCTTCCCACATCGTGATGTAGATATGTGGGGGCGTGTTAGAATGAGCCGTTTTAGGTAGGCGTGGTTAACTCTTAACTTTTATAAAGAATATCTCTTTGGATTTGAGACTTTAGTCTTTGCAACTTTACAGATCTTCTTTATGCACCAAGAGCTTGTAACACTCTAAAGAGAAAGGAAAAATTGAAATCGCATCATATGACCCCTTTAAATAGTAGCTGACCAAAAAATTACAATTCTGTCACAATTTAGAAAGTCATATGTTTGAAATGCCATGAGGGTGAGTAAGGCTCATCAAGGCTGCATTTATTTGATACAAAATACAGTAAAACAGTAATATTGTGAGATATTATTTAAATAATAAAAGTAATTTATTCCTATAATGTCAAAGCTGAATTTTCAGCATCATTACTCCGATCTTAAACGTCACATGATCCTTCACAAATCATTTTAATATGCTGATTTGTTGCTTTAGAAACATTTATTATTATCTACATTATTATTATTATTATTATATGTTTGTGCTAGATACAGACTTAAATGACGAGGTTAGAAGTTTTTTGTTGTTTAATTTATACAAATAAAAGTATGCAATTATTCAGTGATTAGATATGCAGTCTGCTTTGACACTGCTAACGTGTCCATTATACTGTATATTTGAAAAGATTTGCAAATTGATCTGCATTTCCTTCTATGATATTATACAACATGGTCACATATAGACTTTACAGCTGTTTTCAATGTTCTTCAGGAGCCGATGGTGAAGTTTCCGCTGAAGGAGGTCCAGTCCACCCGTACACAGAGGCCCACAGCTGGCTCCAGTTACCCGTATGTGGAGATAATGCTGGGTGACCTAATGTCTCAACGCATTACACAGTTACAGCTGGACCAGGTATGGACTTTGGACTAAATGAAGGAATATATGATTGCAAATATCATATACATAATCTAATTGTGTAATGTCTGGTAATTTTAATGCCCTTTTAAAGTGTGTTGTTAATCTGAGTTGGTAATTTTCACTGGGCCTGTGTGGGCGGAGCTTATTCCTGTGCGTTTGACTTTACAGAGTCTTGAGCTGTGCCGTGTTATCGCCACGCATATGGAGAACCTGCTGTCAGTACGAGAGAAGAGACTTACTCTGCCGCCCAGTGAAATCACTCTGCTCTAGCACCCTTTCTATTATTACTTTTATGGCAATAATTGCAATCAGACACTATTAAACTTCTACACGTCGAAAGCTACCTGTCATTGTTGATAGTGCAATATGTCTGTTTACAATTTCAAAACCAAGTTCCAGGATTGGCTTGTTATTCACAATAATTTTGCATGCATTCCATTAGATTGAACATATGGGCCCATAATTTAAAACAGTATAGCACTACCTCTAGTTCTGGACATGTGAAGTTCTTCTCTTAAATACTGATTTGCACTACTTAAGACATTTTTTACATGTTTTAAATATTTATATATTGTTTGTGTCATGTGGATGTGAATGGGAAACAAAATATATGCACAACGAATGCAGGTTTAATATGAAGTCTTTATTCTAAATAATAATAATAATAATAAATCACAACTGACCTGTGTTTTCCCCAAATGTGTATTATTTATTTACATTAGATGCACAGTTTGAGGAATCATGAAACATTGTTAATACATTGAATAATATTAACTAATGTTTGTAAAAAAAAAAGCAAATTAATTCATGTGACCAAAAGTTATGATCAGCATTATTATTTTTAAATAAAACTAAAACTATTAACCACATTTTTGTTAATTGAAATAAATTAAAATTCAATACAAAACAATAAAATTCAATAAAATAAAAAAATATAAATATAAATATTACATGAAAATCTTAACAAACATTTTAAATGTTGCGTGGGCAGCTAACAGAAATAAGTTTATGCTAAAGCACTAAAATTGCTAACTGGGAATAAATAAATAACAACATTAAAAAGTGAAATAAAACTAAAACTTATAAAAATAATTTAAACCTAAATAGTAATGTTTAAAAATAACAATAATAATAATAAAAATTACAAAAATATATATATAATTAAAAATTAAACTAAAATGAAAAGGAAACGTAAAAATAAAAGTTAATTAAAAATATTAATAAAAACTTGAATAGTATATAAATAATACTAAAATAGCATGATTTGATTGGCTGGTTTCTCCACGCAATGAAACTGAATTGCTGCCAGGCAATTCAAACGTGTAAGTAAAACTAATCCAGCCGACTCCTGATCCGTGTTTTCCACACGCACGCTGGTCGTGGGCGTGGTTTGGTGAATTGGTCACAGATTCTTGGCTTCTGATTGGCTCTCCTAAGACGTGGTTCCTGTGAACTTGCCCTGTGGTCAAACTGCATAAACACACAGCTGAAAACTTGCACGGCTTGAGGAGTGGATACAAAAGAAACTGGAGCTTGCATGAAGGGTCACATTGTTTCTCTGCACCGATTCACGCCTAACGGAATTGATATCAATCTGAGACGGCGCGGGCTGTGATATTTCTCTGATTCGGCTTCAGGATGATGAAGTTCAGGTTCAGACGGCAGGGGAACGACCCTCATCGTGAGAAAATCAAGCAGGATCTGTTTGCATTCAGTAAGGTATGTGGGATATGTACTGTAGCGTTGGGTCTCCTCTCTCTCTGTCTCTGTCTCGAGCATGCATGCGGTTTCGGGTTGCATTGAAATCGATTAAAAGAACATATAATTCAAGCAAATGTATTCACAAATGATTTATTGTGAACGTGTTCTATTTCAGTAATTTCCTCTTTATTAACATGCAGTTGCTAATATGGCAATGTTTTACAACTATCATGGCCAGATATGACAATATAAGCGCATGAAAGTTGTTTGAAACAGTTATTGCTTTATATATAGCAAGCTTTTCTTTTGGTTAGTGCACAGTTACACTTTTATAGTTTCAAGAGAATGACTGAGAAATGTGTTGCTTTTGCGTGTAATATATTTATCTTCATCAATGGAGCTCATTAAATCAGATCGGGCGTGTTGTCTATTGTGAGTGACCTCAAAGTTTTCTTGTGTTTGTAACTTTAACCGTTACGAACGACTGACAATCGACTGACTAATAATCTGTATGTTTGTTTGTTTGTTTGTTATTGAGCCTTGAACGTGTCCTGCAGTTGTAGGGTGAGGATTTGTAGAGCTCTCTGTAATGAGGCTGCTCTTAAATCATAATGAACATGTTACTGCTCTCTTGCCAAAAACATAGAAAGAGTTTGATTGTAGGCTTTTTACTGATGACCAAACTCTGGCACTATTACAGCACAATCAAACATTTCGACCCCTCCTCTTCAGTGTAAAGCAAAACAGGAGGAAATGAGAGATACCATATTATGCATGTTTTACAGCATTAAAGTCCTCGCTTTTGTTCATTCCTCAAATGCTGCTGATTTATCCACTGATGGTTTAGGAAAACAGAGTGTGTGTGTGTGTGTGTGTGTGTCATGCTGATGAAGCATCATGACACTGTGTAATGTTACAGGAAGGTCCTGTTATTTATCATGTCACACTTTGTCAACCTGTGGATTCGGCTTCAGGATGATGAAGTTCAGGTTCAGACGGCAGGGGAACGACCCTCATCGTGAGAAAATCAAGCAGGATCTGTTTGCATTCAGTAAGGTATGTGGGATATGTACTGTAGCGTTGGGTCTCCTCTCTCTCTGTCTCTCTCTCGAGCATGCATGCGGTTTCGGGTTGCATTGAAATCGATTAAAAGAACATATAATTCAAGCAAATGTATTCACAAATGATTTATTGTGAACGTGTTCTATTTCAGTAATTTCCTCTTTATTAACATGCAGTTGCTAATATGGCAATGTTTTACAACTATCATGGCCAGATATGACAATATAAGCGCATGAAAGTTGTTTGAAACAGTTATTGCTTTATATATAGCAAGCTTTTCTTTTGGTTAGTGCACAGTTACACTTTTATAGTTTCAAGAGAATGACTGAGAAATGTGTTGCTTTTGCGTGTAATATATTTATCTTCATCAATGGAGCTCATTAAATCAGATCGGGCGTGTTGTCTATTGTGAGTGACCTCAAAGTTTTCTTGTGTTTGTAACTTTAACCGTTACGAACGACTGACAATCGACTGACTAATAATCTGTTTGTTTGTTTGTTTGTTTGTTATTGAGCCTTGAACGTGTCCTGCAGTTGTAGGGTGAGGATTTGTAGAGCTCTCTGTAATGAGGCTGCTCTTAAATCATAATGAACATGTTACTGCTCTCTTGCCAAAAACATAGAAAGAGTTTGATTGTAGGCTTTTTACTGATGACCAAACTCTGGCACTATTACAGCACAATCAAACATTTCGACCCCTCCTCTTCAGTGTAAAGCAAAACAGGAGGAAATGAGAGATACCATATTATGCATGTTTTACAGTATTAAAGTCCTCGCTTTTGTTCATTCCTCAAATGCTGCTGATTTATCCACTGATGGTTTAGGAAAACGGAGTGTGTGTGTGTGTGTGTCATGCTGATGAAGCATCATGACACTGTGTAATGTTACAGGAAGGTCCTGTTATTTATCATGTCACACTTTGTCAACCTGTGAAAAGAGATCTGCATCATTCGGCCAACTTCAAGCCTGCTTAGATTTGTGTGTTGATTTAAGGTGACATTTTTAAAATTGCCCAAAAACATGTTTCTGCAAAGCACTTTTGATAACTTTGAAGATGAATTTGACATTGTCTGTCAAATCTACTAGATTTCCTTCCTTGCTATTTCTGGGTCTGCATTTATTTATTTTTTTTTGTAAAAACAAGGAAATTCCCTTCCTTCCAAGACTGCACTGAATAGATCTACTGCATTGTTAATTGTAGCATCAGGGCTCATTAGAGGTCAATGAGGTATGAATTGGTTTCTTTTTTTTTTGAGCTCAGCAGAAAAAGAGGGATTTCAAATGTCTATATGATGTACATTACATGTGAGTTTAAGTTCTGAATGTGTGATTTCCTCTTCTCTTCTTTTTACTCAGACAGTTGAACATGGATTCCCAAACCAGCCAAGTGCTTTGGCCTATGATCCCAAACTGCAGCTTATGGCCATTGGAACTAAATCAGGGGCCATCAAAATGTATCCTTTTGTGAGTGCTTTACTCAAATGGAACGAATGATGTAGTTGAATTGTTTTGTTAATATACACTACTGTTCAAATGTTTGGGGTCAGTAAAAGTTAAAGTAAAGAATTTTACATTGGTAAAAAAAAATGGTTGATTTCAAATAATTGCTGTGCAGAATTTTCTATTCAGCAAAGAATCTTAAAAAATGTATCACAGTTTCCACAAAAATAAGAAGCAGCACTACTGTTTTTAACTGTTGTAATAATAGGAAATGTTATTTGAGCAGCAGTTCAGCATATTAGAATGATTTCTGAAGGATCAACTGACACTGAAGACTGGAGTAATGATGCTGAAAAATCAGCTTTGCATCACAGGAATAAATTACATTTTAAAATGGATTGAAATAGAAAAGTTGTTTTAAATTGTAATGCTATTACAATACAATTGTAATGCTATATTTTACAATGTCACTGTTTTTACTGTGTTTTTGATCAAATAAATGCAGCCTTGCTGAGCAAAAGGGACTTCATTCAAAAACATTAAAAAACCTTAATGACCCCAAACACTTGAACAGAGGTATATTTACACCTAAGTTTGTACACACCTTCTCTGTTGTTTATCTTACCCATTCAAATAATAAATTAAACATAATAATACATTAAACATTAAAAAATAACGAAAATAAAAGAATGGGAATTAAGTTGACAAAAAAATTAAGATTAAACAAAGTTAATTAAGATTTAAGAAATTATGTATTTATATGTATATCAATTTTGTAAGTAGCCACTGTTTGTGTAGATTACAGTGATTCTCTCAATTGGCTTTGAGAGCTGCAGCCATAATGCTTAACTATTCAGTAAAACAAGTTTTAAAAGAAATTCATATATAGGTGCAATTTGTACTTGTATGTCTGTATAATAGTGTGTGTCCAAACTTTTGTGAGAACCACTGGCATTTTACATTAACACCAACTTCTTAAGCGTTATAATATTAAACTCTTTACATCCTTCATAAAATGTTGGGAAAGATTTGGTCATTTTTATTTAGATCAATGATACAATGCAGTGAGTGAATGTCCTAGTTTATGGTTCACTGATTCTGATTAATTACTCTGGATGTATGGCTCTGTTGTGTTGAAGACTTGAATCATCTGCGTTTGTACACAGTGTGACTCGTTACATGTTGTGCTAGTCCTCTAAAACTTGGTACTTTGAAAATAAACTTTTCTAAATTGTTATAATTATACTCGACACTGTCCAGGCCTGAATGTTTGAGTCTGTAGTGGGTAGAAGGAATGTTTAGGAGGATACTATCAGAATAAAGGGTCGGAGACTCCTTTGGTGAGCTGTTATTATCTAGTCCTCCTGGACTGGACAGGTCAGACAGGCCAAGTATCATGGAATACGTCCAACATTCTTTCACAGTCATGCTTGCTTTTTTTTCTGCGATGGAAGCTGAGATACAGGCAGGATCAGTGATATTATGGTGATTGTGATGCACAGTACAGGTCTTTGAGCTTTGGGAGGCTGGTAGTGTCAGGCACAGCCCAGCTGAGAGATGCTCATTCTGCAGCCTTGACTCAGTCGGGGGTGGGGTGGTGGTGGGGGGCGCTAGCTGCGGACGGCCTGATCTGACAACCTGCCACTAATGCCTCGTACATCAGACAAGAAGACTCATGATGGAGAGAGGGCAGGGACTGGTCGGTGTAAATAAAGGAGCTGTTCTGAGGTTGAGTAATGAGAGGTTTGGCTTTGAAAGCATTTCCTCTGTTTGGGTGTTGAAGGGGGTGTGATGAGAGATCAAAGTTTGGTTTACCCAGTCTGACTCCATTTTTTTTGGATGTCTTTGAATAACATTTGGGAATATAGTATTAGTTTAGTGTTGGCGAATTTCTCTCTTCTGTCATTAAGAGTTCTCTTTGAGAGACTTATAAGTTCTGTTCAGGGCATTTCTTCATTATTTTTTAATGAGGAAAGCTAAATGACTTGGTGTCACGCTAGCTTGTTTTGTGAAAAGTTCTGCGGAATGGATTTAAACATGGTGCAGTTATGCTAAAGAATAATCAAATTAGCCAAAATATTTAATAAACCAGGGGATCCCAAAACTTTTTATGTTAGGACCCAGCTAGAGAGCTATGATCATTCTCAAGATCCACTGAAAATGTTTTTACATGCAGCCTGTGAAGAAAAATGATACAGGAAAGACAAGTTATGCCCACCAACAAAGTTGTTAATTTGACATGAGCTATTCTTACACTTTGCAGTAACCACAATTTAAAAACTGTTGTAATTAACATTCATGAATTGGTGGGGGATGTGTACTGCATTGTGAAATTAAGGTCTTTCCAGTTCTGTGAAAATATGCTGATTTGTATGTGTGTTGATTCCATGTCAGCCTGCTTATGTCCCTCAAACTGCGCTTCTGTCTTAAATTCATTTCGTGCAAGGGAAGACCCAGTGACTCTTTTCCTATGGGTCATGCGTAAACTTGTGCTGAATCAATAGCCAGATACTGTTGGATGAAAAAACTAGCAAGATCTTTATGAACAACTTATAAATTGAACCCAGCATACAGTCGTCCAGTATTTTATCAGTTCTTGCGGAGTTATTTGATTGAGCTGTCAGTGCTTTCTTCATTAGTTAGAGAAAACTGGAATGCTGCTGTGGTTTGATAAGCTCCATTTTATCTGGATCGGTTCCAGCTCCAGATGTGTGGTTTGCACATCAAAGGCTGGATTGCTGTGATGTGCATAGCTCTTCAGCCCCGGTCATCCCGATGTCAGACGCCAGAACGGCCCAGTCTGAAGTGCGTCTGAACAAGGGTGCTGTCATCAGAGTTTGTCCAGCTCATCCTGTGCAAAGCCGTTATCAGAAACTCTGATGGATTCATTTATACTGTGACAAAGCCATTAACTCTACCATTAAAGGGATAGTTCACCCTCATTGGCTGGTCCCCTTTGACTTGCATAGTGTTTTTTTCATACTATGGAAGTCAGTGGGGACTAGCAGTGAAGGTGAACTATTCCTTTAAAGTACCTAAAGCTGAGGTGTGTACTTGTTTTTTGGATGATAATATTCTTTCTCCTATTGTAGTTGAATGTCCAGAATCAGATAGATATTAGTAAGCCATTTGTAGGTTTTAAGGCAGATATTCCTGTTTAACCAAATCATGGAATTCAGGGTAGGTGGAAAAATGTTGTGAAATTAAGTGTGAACTTTTTGAACAAACTTTAAAATCCAGCCATTGTTTTTATGAGCATATTTATCTTTTTTTTTTATTTTATGAAACATTTGCTGACCTTTTCAAGGCTTGCTTGTAAATGGGATGTTTACAGTTGCCTTTTGTTTCTTGGCCTCAGTTTAGTGAGCATTCGATGTAATAGCCTGTCTGATCATAAATGTGTCTCCGCTGCCACCACAAATTGAGGCGCAGGGGTGGGTACTATATTTTAAAGCTAAAGAGGAGGACAGACGTGGGGGTTTTAGCAAGGCGAAGTGGAAAGTAATGAGACTGCTGGGACAGAGGAGCTGTTGGAAGTGCCGGGTTCACACCTAAAGAATGCATGTGGCTGTGCCATAAGTTCACCCTCTGCTGTAAGAGGACATTCCTCTGCACTTTTGTTGACTCCATATTTTACTGGTGATAATTGAGATGACTCCCCTTTTAAATTAACAAAATGGTAGCTATCGGACAGGTAGGATCTAAACGGTCTTAAAGCCTGCCCTTGAATACCTGTATAGTTTTGTAATCGATCTATGAGTATGTCATGATCTATAGTGTCGAACGCAGCACTAAGATCAAGTAAAACTAGCAATGAGATACAGCCTTGGTCTGACGCAAGTAATTTTAACAAGCGCAGTTTCTGTGCTATGGTGGGGCCTGAAACCTGACTGAAATTCTTCATAGAGATAATTTTTTTGCAGAATGCAGCACAATTGCGCAGACACAACTTTTTCTA